AACTATTATTAATATAAACATACTTCTGTAAAAAAGCAACGAGTGTAACGATTAAATCCGTTTTTGTATCCTCATACTGTACTGTCTGAAGGTGGAGGCAAACTTATTTTCATGGAGAATCAGAGTAATATATAAAAAGTGAACCGGAAATGATGTTTTAATGTAATCGTGCGCGGGGTGGCGAGCGAAATGGAAAACGGCCTTAAGTTGTCAAAGTCTTACTGCTGCTATTGGCAAACAAGTTAATTTTGGCTTGGAAATAAGTATGACACCAATTATTTGATATGGTCAAAATTGTTAAAAAATTTCCATCCCGGTCAGGGTGATGAAGGATAAAGTCTTCATGTGGAAAATATTATCCCATTTGACTGAGATCGCACCTAGCACAAGGTGAGATTACACCTAGTTGAATTTTGTATACGTTAACAAAGGCATGATGCAGATCTCGAACACTCTATTACATAATTACATCTTTTGCTAGGTACATTGTAGATCATACCAAAATTACAGCTTAGGCTCTGGATACACAGGAAAAAATTTAAACTTCCATTTAATGGTTTTTAGAGATTTACAATGTATTATCAAATGTAAAAACTGAACTCTTACTATTATTGGTTATTATAGATTTCTCATAAGGTAAATTGGTAAAAACTATGATATTTATTATCTCCTGGTAAATATTAAACATCATGGTTTTTACTAATTTAGGTCCATATGGGAAATCTATAATACCCAATAATGGTTTTACATTCAAAAATCCATTAATGGAAATCTAAATTTTTCCCTGTATTAAGACGGTTTTCCAGTCCTCGCACGAAGCTACTCGCAGCTCGCTGCGAGTGATGCATGAGCACTTTCATCCAATCACAATGCAAAACAGTTAATTTTAATTAGATGCAAGCACTCGCAGCGAGCTGCGAGGAGCTTCGTGCGAGGACTGGAAATCCGCCTTTAGGCTTACGTTTTGGTGTTAATTTTGCATAGTATTACTTTTTCATATTTTTCATACAAAAATTATGATCTCCAACGGTTTTATCTCCTTACAGTTGATTTCACACAACTTTTCCTTAAAATATTGCGTAAACGTTAAAATATTGCGTTCCGAACTGCGTTGTGAAGTTCAAAAGTTCATACTGAATTTCACAAGTCGGTTTGTAAACAATGCACTTGATTGGCTTACTTCTGTTCAGGGACCAATCAGAGGCTTTGTTTACAAACCGGCTTGTGAATTTCAGTATGAATGTTTGAACTTCATAACGAAGTTCGGAAAGAAGTACGCAATATTTAGGGAAAAGTTTCGTGAAATCAACTGTAAATACTTACATTGAGTATAGAATTATTAATATCTCTTAATTCATTCTTTACAAAAATATGAGGATCAATATTTGTGTGTTGTTCATAAGTAGCTTGTGAGTAAGATCTGTAAAAACAAGCATACTGGATTAATTAAAGGTGCTATACAGTCCGATCTGCGCATGTGCACAAAGGAGCCCACTTTTTATGATACAAACAGTTTAACTATGTTTTGGGTTCTTGAAAAGCCTGATTGTTGTTTCTTGATCATTTATTATACTCTAGAAGCTTGAAAATATAAGTAGTGGTCGAATAAAGCTCAAAATTTTGGACACAAAAATGTAAACAAAGGCTTTGTTTACATACGGACTGTAGGGCACCTTTAAAATCTATTGTTAAAAATATTTTCAATCCAAACAATGCACAGTTGTCACATATAATTATCTACAATCGATACCAGTAACATGCTGCAATGTCTGTCTCATCCAAAATACTCATGAGCAGGTAGTTTTTCATGATTTTTTGGTAGGCCATTTTTACAGAGAAGATTGAGTTTTCCCACTTCCCGCTGGGTCGAAATCAGAGGGGGGGGGGAGGGGGGCGAAGATTCCGGTGTGAAGGGGGCTCCTAAACAGCTGGGTGTCTAGAACAGCTGTACCTCCCACCTCCCCCAGGGTGAAACCCAGAGGGGGGGAAACTTCCGGTGTGAGGGGGGGGGGGGGTTGACGAAACAAATTTCCTATTTGTCGAAATTCCTCGTTATTCCAAATATAACATATACTTCATTCAATGAGCAATAAGACGATGGTTTTTCCGATGAAAACGTTTGCCGAATAATTTGCATCCTGCCTATCTAGAGCACAATTTGGATAAAACTAAATTTTTATTGAAGAAATTTAAGCACTTCTAAACTTTTTTCAACTCTAAAAAATATTAATAAATTTAGAAAATATATCCAAGGTGTTTTGTATTTGATTCTTTTTCAGAAACTAGCATTGTTTTTGTTGTTTCAAGCGACCATATTAATGTGTGTAAATACATTGTGTGAAAGAGTTGCCAGCCTTAGGATAATATACTATATGAAAATACAATGACGTAAACATCGGAACCTGAATACATAACCAGTGTAAGTTGAGCTTGCAACCAAACATGACGTCATAAATTAGCGGACATTTTCACACTGATTTACATATCAAACAAATTGAAATATCTCGGGAACAAACCATAAAAACAAGAAACTGAAAAATAAGTTACACTACAGCTTAAAGAGTTTTTTCGTTTAAGAAAATGAGAAATTTCATGTCATATGCACTTTAAGTGAATATACATCTTTTCTGTGCATGACTGGATATAAAATTCATCATGTATCAGTCAATTCCAGCAGTGCCCATCCCACCCCCAGGCCTTCGCAGCTTTCCTAATCCTGGGGGTGGGACTATCGCCGAAATTTTTCAGCCCGGGGGTGGGGACTTAGACGTTTTCCGTCATGGCGATTGGCGGACTATAACATGGCAGATTTCACTGGAAAAGATACTGAATTCGTTTGCAAATGGCTTGATAGCAATTCTTTTGGATGTTCTTTCAGTACCATTGTCTTTGATCATTGATGAGTAAAATCCTTTGTCTACATGAAATAGTTTTTCTCCTTCAATGGACAATGATCACTATAAAAAATTATCCGAGTGCATCGCCAACCATCAGTGACATACAAAATCTGGCTTAAGGTCCAGACACACCGGACGCGATTCGACAATGCGACACGATTTTTTAGTTTTTGAAAGTTTAATTAAAGCAGCCAATGAGAGCAAATTTTAACCAAATAACTCGAAATGTTATAAGGCTTCTAAATATTTAGAAAGTTTAAACAAGGATCAAAGTTATTGGTCAGTGAAAATCGAAAAATCGCGTCACCTTGTAGAATTTGCGTCCGGTGTGTCTGAACCTTTAATATTTTCAAAGGTTGACATATTATTGATATTAAGTAATATTATCATAGGTCTAGCTAGATGCGCTGAAGTTAGGGTTGAGAATTTATACAGTGTTGCATTAATATAAAAGCATTTTTATCGTTGTTGTAGAACTTCTTTTTTGTGCTTTGCATTCAATGCTGTAAGTAACTTCGTTAAAAGTAACTAGTTACAAGTAATCGTTACATTTTTCAGTAACGGTAACGGTAACTTGTTACATTTTGAGAACATGTAACTGTAACGGTAACTAGTTACAAAAAATGCCATAAAATTGAAACGATTACAAGTTATTTTGCCAAAGTTACAAGTTACATTTTGTTCGTTGCTATTTGTGTACGTTTTTAAAATGAAATTAATCAATACACAGTCAGACAAGCTCTTAATCGTCTGCACAGGAATAATTTAATCTGACAAAACAGAATCCGTTCAAGACACAAATTTAAGTCAAAGATTGACGTCAAATTTACGTACAGTTGGAACTGATCGGAATGCCGTCGCTCGCCTTCACTTGGGCCTTGGCCTCGTCATAATTGGTCTTTGGCCTCATTTCACTTGGCCTTGGCCCAGTCATGATCACGTATTCACGTTTCTGCTTTTTCATTACGAAGTCAGAAGCCACTAGCCAGTGAGGGATATTTTTTTTCAAAATCTTCGTTCAGACTGTATAATAGCAGAGTTTTTCTAATTGACAATTCTATTAAAAAATCGATTTGGTGGAATTTTACAGATGCATGCAGATACATCTAGTAAATAGTTATTAATTTTGCCAACAATTTTGCCGCAAGTTTCATTACCATTCGGCCCATTCGAATTGTATGCGTTCTTAATTGCAATCAATAAATGTAACTTGTAACTTTGTAACTAAGTTACAAAAAATATATTGTAACTTTGTAACTGTAACTACAGTACCGCTCGCGTATATCTTAACATACGATACGCGTATGATACGCGTATGCTACGCGTATCATACGAATATGCGCATCATAGAATACGCGTATCATAGAATACGCGTATCATACGAATACGAGTAATACGCGTATCATACGAATACGCGTATCATACGAATACGCGTATCATACGAATATACGCGTATCATACGAACGCGCGTATCATACGAATACGCATTAAAAACAAATATTAGGGCGCTATAAAAGACGTGTTTTATAGCGCCCTGCAAATACGCATATCATATACGCGCTATTATAATTCGCCTATTAATTCCGAAACGGGTATACTGTACATACACGTATATATTGGGAGTTCTAAACTGAGCTACAATACAATATTCAATAAGCATCAACCTACTGTATAGTTGGATTCTAGGTGCGGATAATAGTAATAATTGTTGATTAAATAACTTGGGCCACCACCTGTTTAGGGAACATTCAGTGCGGCCTTTTAAAAGTGTGGGGGGGGGGGGATTTTCGAGCGGTGAAAGCCCTAGAGTCCCTGAAATACGATTTCCTGCATTTTCAGGGTAAGATTATACAGAATTCCGAAGATTATAAAGTAAACAAAACACACGATTTTTTCATGACTATGTACTGTTTAATAAACGAGCAGGAGTGTTTTATTAGGTTTAAAGCCACGAGCGCGCAGCGCGAGTGGCTTTAGACCTAATAAAACACGACCTGCGAGATTATTAAACGGCTTCAAACACGACTACAAATTCAATAGATATACTGCCTTATTAGTATTCTTTATATAAAAAATACTAATGACGACACGACAACAATAGATACTGCCTTATTAGTATTCTTTATATGCACGTGACATATTATGGTTGACATGATTTGCCAATAAGCTTATGAATTATTAATGAGTGTTTGAAACGTATATATAGACCTACAAATGTAGTATTACATCATAGTCAATAGAATGAGGTCAGGGAACTCGATGCAGCCATACAGCAAAAGACCTCATTATCTATATTTTTGTCTGGTTTATGCAAGGAACGATCGATTCATCGTCACGTGTGTAATATTTTTTACCAATAGCAGTGTGCTGGTTTAATTACCCAGTCGTAATATTACGCAATGGCTAAACAAAAACATAATAACTATTGGTTACTCTAGCGAAAATACAATACACACATGACGATGAACCGACCATTTTTTTGCATAAACCAAGACAAAAACATAGATAGGTCTATTATGTCTGTATCGAGTTCCTTAACCTTCTTATTCTATTGACTACGATTACATTGATTGACAGCTGCCTAAAGGAATTGCTACTTCCAGGAAAAATGAAGTCAACATCATTTTATTTTGACCTTGCTGTGTGTGCTCTCACATGATGCCACTATCACAGGCAAGGTAGCGACCTCAAACAAATCGGGATAAAGGTGGTGCAGATCATCTTTGCTGAAAACTTCGAGCAAGGAGGGCAAGCAGATGCAAGGTGGATACTTTCTTTTGAACCCTTTCTCTAGACTCTTTCCTTTCCTTCTCTTCGCTGATATGATGCTCGTATGTAATCTTCCAGTTGTTACATTGAATATTCCAGCCATATGTACTCTTCGTACCATTTCATTTGGAATGTAAACTTTCTCACCGATATTTCCGATGTTGAAAAATCTAAGATAGGTCTAACCGTCCAGATTCGAAAACGACGGTTCTATTTGCCTCCCTCACACACAATTTCACTTGATGAATCTTTTCCTTCAAACATTTTTCTCTTTCAGTTGTGTAGTGATGCGTTCCAAGAAGCTAATGACCATACGTTGCGCGAACGGTGCATTAATTAACATATCTCCCTCACATCTCAGCAGCAGGATCAAACTTCTGCATGATGCATCACACATTACCCCTTGCACTTAATTTGGGTAATATATTAACCCATTATGGTGGGTTTCTTTCGGCAGCCATAATCAGTGCCTGCAATATGCTAATGGTAAATATCGCATATATGAAACAGACTTTTGTCAAAAGTAAAGCGATGATCTTTTAATACCGGTTTTTATTCACACAATAAAGACTGAATTTATCAAGTTAGATCTAAATAACTGGACTGATGTCACAAACTACCCCCTCATTTTTCTCACCGGATTTGGACAAATTAGAAAATTGACCTTGAAAAGAACTGGGGGGGGGACGTGTCCTCCCCAGTCCTCCCTGTGGCGCCGCCACTGGGAACATTACTTTCTGACTGTTTGTAGATACAGAGACAACGCTGTTACAATTTTGCGAGGACCTGTATTCTATAGACTATCTGATTAAAACATCGTGCATGGTGTCTTAAGGTCCAGACATACCGGACGCGATTGGACAATTTAGTTTTTGAAAATTAATAAAACAGCCAATGAAAGCAAATTTTAAAAGATATGTAAACCAAATAACTCAAAATGTTATAGCGCTTCTACATATTTGGAAAATTTAAACTAGGATCAAAATGATCGTTCAATGAAAATCAAAACATCGCGTCGCGTTGTTGAATCGCGTCCGGTGTGTATGGACCTTTAAGCGGCAGCGTAATCGGCTCTATATTTTATCGAAGAGGGCACTTACTACCTGAACGGAGTTTTGTATAACGTGTATCATTCTCAATTATCATACGCGTATATGCAAGTATCAAATTATGTAGTTTCGAACGTAGTTGATACGCGTATTGATATGTTATGCTACGCGTATGATTGCATACACGTATTCATATGATACGCTACGCGTATGATACGCGTATCATACTCGTATCATACTCGTATGATACGCGTATCATACGCAAAAAAGTGTTAAGATATACGCGAGCGGTACTGTAGTTACACTTTGGCATCTGTAACTTGTATCAGTAACTAGTTATGTTTTGGTAATGTAACTATAACTGTAACTAGTTACAAATAAACTGTAACTGTTACAGCACTGTTTGCATTTATATTGTCCATAGGCGTAGAATTGGGTCATTCCAGAAAACATCCATACAACCCCCACGGAGGAAATAGGAAGTTAACCCTCCTACCCCCTTCGGATGTCCTAATACATTTACTATTATCAGAAACAATTTTTTCTCCCCTCCCCCTCCGGACGGCAGAAATTTCCTCCGTGGGGGGAGTATGGATCTTTTCTGGAACGACCCATTATAACATGCAAATCAATGTGTGCTAAACAGTTTATTTTATTGCCCGGGGGTGGGGATATGGACCCAACATGTTTGCCCAAGGGTGGGGCTTTATCACAGTTCTTCTTTCCCTGGGGTAGGGACATAGCCATTTCCTTTCCAGAAATGGCTAATTCCCAGGGGGGGGGGGGATGGGCACTGCTGGAATTGACTGATACATATTTACTGTAACAAAAATTTGATAATACAATAGTATATTCATAGTCAGTTTCTTACAAATAAAGATATAAATTAATGAGAGGTCGAAGATTGATTTTCAAGTAAATCTCATATAAAAATCATACACTATACAGACCTAGAATGATGTAATATATTTTGCAAAGCAACGCATTGCAAGCAATGGCTTATCCGCCGCTTGCTTGCACCATTCCTTCCACGTATTCCTGATAAAGTTACAGATTTCAAAAACTTTCTTCTAAACATATCCAACACCAACTATTTTCATTATTACTTCCATGAAAAATATACAACTACAAGCTATCAGTGACAAGTGGCACGAGGGATTACTTATACTGAAACTTACATGAAGTGTTTCTAACTTTTATTTACAAGGTTAACTGAGGTTAACATTGGATTATGAGTGAATTGTATAGGATAGGATAGGATAAAGGAGTTTGCATAATTGCAAATGACCTGCAAAATTTCCATATTAATAAGAATTTAAATTGTTATTTATACACTTCTTTGATGACTACAGACCATTTATAATCTGTTATGTTCTTTAAATATCTCTTTTTAAATTTGTTTTGTTGTCTATTTGGAAATTCTAAACGTTTCAAAACGCTGTTTTCTGACGCAAAAATATTTCTAGTTCCACGAAACCCTTATTAGACCACAGAAGTACCGTATTATCCATTATTTTGGTACTGAGGAGTCTTGGAAGATATTTTTAGTCTGAAAATTTGAATATTTTTACATTGTTCAGTTTGCAAAATGATGTAGAATTCGTTTGGCGGTCTTTCTTGTAATGTGGTCATGGTGTGAGAGATATTTGTAAGCTGCCTAGATCGCGTTTCGCGGCTTCTTGCTGTGTGTTATTTCGTCATGTGTTCCATATAATGGAAGGCGGTAGTGATGGTAGTGATGAAGAAAGGTTGTTTTATGGCACAGTTCGTGAGTATACGGTGAGTTTATGCCAACCAGCTGGTGTATATATGTTTGTAACTAATATAAACAACCACTAAATACACATTCTTTGTTGCTCTATTGCTAAACTATTTCACAAATGGTACGTACTCCATCTTGATAGTTTATATGTCTTTATGATGGTTTATCTTGTTTATAGAATCTAAATATTAACTTCTTGTTGCTAATATAAATATTTCCGTTCAATAAAAACCCTCAAGTTAGATAATTTTAAACACTATGAAATCAGAACTCTGCTGCAGACTTTATAGTATTTGCACAGTGCATACAGTAAAATACGTTCATTAATTAAATTTACTACATATAAGCATAGACCCAAGGTGCATATTTTCCATGTAAAAGCCCATTTACAAAATGCAACTAGTCATATACGATTCTTATCCTGGCATATGTATTCGAAATAAATGCATGTAAAAATGTCACATTTCAAATTTCGCCATAAACTGATGAACAGGAATCTATATTAGGTCATTCCAGAAAAGATCCATACCCCCCCCCTACGGAGGAAGTCGAAAATAACCCCCTCTCCCCCTTCGGACATCCTTGAATGATTCATCCTCCCCCCCTCTCCGGACATCAAAGCCCAAAATTACCCCCCTCCCCTTCGGACATCCACTATTTCTAAATTTTTCTAAAGGCTACCTCGCCGTTTGAAAACGTCACTGAAAGTTATACTACGTTCACACTACGCGCAAGCGAACTAATGCGGGCAGAATTTATGTGTGTTCAGACTAAGCCATTACAGTTTGTTTACAAATTGAATTAGCACTCGTGTAAACCCAAAATATTTCAAATAGACCCAAGAAATTTAACTGAAAAGCATTCGAGTTTACACGTTTGTGTTCACACGAAGCTATCAAGCACTCCGCCGTTTTCACCTCGCTCCGTTTAGAAACCGTGCCCAAATTGTTACGGCAAAAGTGACGTGAAAGTTTTCAAACGATTTCGCTCCAGCGTAGAGTGAATTAGCGATGGCTTATTGTGACTTTTCTACGCTGTTTTCAAATAGCTCCGGCGTGGCGGAACACTTGGCAGCTTCTTGTGACTTGCGAACACAAACACGTGGCAGGTTTTGTCGGGTACGTTCCAGCAGGGTACGTTCAAGTAAAATTCGGGCTGAAATTCGATGTAACTTGCGACTGATTGACAAGCGTTGCTTTGTTTACTTACATGTTAATGCATTTTTTAGTATTACTGCATTCCTTAACCTCCCCCTTAATATGAAAGCCAATTTCTATTTTCTAGACACGCACCTCGCAAGGAAGCTTTATTGACTATATACTAAAACAAATTGTTTTGAGTTCAGTTCACATAGCAGTCTCTTAATTCGAGCAACAGTTTAATAACTATTATTTTTAACACTTGAATAATTCAAACTTATATACTACGAACGAAAACCGCTGCAAACTATATAAATAAAGCGTGTCAATTTTCGACTCATTCTCAACATGCAGGATACGCTGTTACAGCGAGTTAGTTTTTGGTGGCCATGCATGCAAAAGTGGGCCGCTTATTTTGCTTACGAGTTACATGGACGTATAATTATTGCTGTTACATAAACGTTCCGGTGTTCAAGAGCTACATATAGCCGATAAAAATTGCGTGCTC